CCCCAAAACCCCAAAACCCCAAAACCCCAAGCTATGAATAACGATTGAAATTAGAGATATTGAAATTTAAAAGAATTAGCAAATAATTTCGGGAGTAAAGTAAATAAATAAATAAAAAAGAATATAAATTAGATCAACTAGAAACAATTCGCTGTTCTGATACTTAATATTAATATTAAAAAGTTGAGAGTTTTCCAATTAATATCAGATATTTATCAATAATGAATTCCAACGAGATATAAACTAGAAAAACTTGGTTGATGGACTTTCATGAGTACATGCTTAGTTATTGCTAGTCCATAATGACAATGCTTTACAATAAGCACTCTGACTTAGATTAAATAGATACCACCTTTTATTCCACTAATGATGATGGTACAAGGAATTTCAAATTAGTTGATAGTTTATAACTTGGAATAGTTCCTCAAAGCTTGAGTGACATCTTTAATTTTTCTTACGGTGATCCCTTTGATCCAAAGGTTCCTTGGAGAAACCCAATTGAGAGAGAAGTCATAGAGATCTTGGGTAAATTACTGGGATTTGAGGATATGTCAGGCTATGTGACTTCCAGTGAATGCGAAGCAAACTTTTCATGCTTATGGTGGTGCAAGTTAAATCTGTTAATGCAATCTAGAAATAGAATTAATGAGTTAAAACTGATGATTGAAAATTCTAAAATGTAATCAAAGGTGCTTAATGGCGTTGAAGATAAAAACAAGAGAAATTCTCTTTTCTATAAAATCTATTAATTAAAAAAGTAACTCAAAATAATTGAGCAGCCTGTAATTATTTGCTCTAGACCACCTTTCACAGATGTATCAATAATCAGAGCTGCAAAGGCCTTAGGTCTCAAAACTTGCTTTGTTGAAGTAAATGAGGATGGTTCGATGAATACTTAATCTTTAAAAGAGAGATTAAGTGATTTTCTTTAATATTAAGCTGTTAACTTTATCGTCAGTTTAAATCTTGGTACTTAAATAGGTGGGTCTTTTGACAATTTACTCAATATACGAAATAAGATAAATGAAATCTTAGAACACAAGTACTCAAATGAAGTAGATAGCCAAGAACTTAATTATAATGAGGATAAAGCAATTGGGGTTAATCTTTGCGAGAATTGGAAATTTGTTTATCACGGGGATGCCTTACTCTATGGATTGACTTTACCGATTTTGAGATAACTTGGAGAAAAAACTTTAAGAGAAAATGGTTTAGATACTATCTCTGTTTCTTTGTGCAAATTTCTAGGAAGTCAAATTCCTTCTGCTGCAGCAATAACATACAAAGATTTTACAGATAATGCATTTAAAGATGATAATTTTATCGAGTATGTTTCGATGTAAGATAAAGTTGCTTTGACTGGAACAAGATCAGGTTTAGCACCAACTTGTGCAGTGCATATCTTGAAAACTTTTTAAATTCATCAAAGCCTAGATACTTTGAAGAATCTTATTGATTACAGTTAGAGCCTAGCCGATTATCTGAGTAAGAAATTGCTTGAAATATATTCGAAAAATCTGATTATTAGAAGATACTTTCATGTTCTCTTTCCTCATGATAATATTCCAGAATAAATGATTAAAAAATACTCCTTATAGAGAGTAAATGGTACTTAATTACAGATAGTCATCGTTTATTCTGTTAATAGGGATTTAATTGATGAGTTCCTTGAAGAATTAAAAGATTAATTATTTTAAAGATAAATGAGCGAAATTGATCGTGATTTGGGCAAAGGATAAGATTTAAAATATTTCATAAGAGATTTATTTAACTAATAATGAAATTAAAAGAGATTAACTTGATAATATAAAATCAATAACAGCAAGTGAATATGTTAAATAAATTTAAATTTATATTGTCATTTACTCGATTTCCATATTTTAATATATCAACTAATATGGGGTTTTGGGGTTTTGGGGTTTTGGGG